TAGCTAGAACATTTATTTTCCTGATAATACCTTAAACATCTTAATTTAGAAATTTCATGAAATATATATAGTTTTGTCATCATCATCATCATCGTTATGATGGCTAGAACATTTATGTTCTTGAAAATCCCTTAAACATTTACTAAATTTCATGAAATATATATAGTTTTGTCATTATCATCATCGTTATGATGGCTAGAACATTTATGTTCTTGAAAATCCCTTAAACATTTACTAAATTTCATGAAATATATATAGTTTTGTCATCATCATCATCATCGTTATGATGGCTAGAACATTTATGTTCTTGAAAATCCCTTAAACATTTACTAAATTTCATGAAATATATATAGTTTTGTTATCATCATCATCATCGTTATGATGGCTAGAACATTTATGTTCTTGAAAATACCTTAAACAATTACTAAATTTCATGAAATATATATAGTTTTGTCATCATCATCATCATCGTTATGATGGCTAGAACATTTATGTTCTTGAAAATACCTTAAACAATTACTAAATTTCATGAAATATATATATAGTTTTGTCATCATCATCATCATCGTTATGATGGCTAGAACATTTATGTTCTTGAAAGTCCCTTAAACATTTACTAAATTTCATGAAATATATATAGTTTTGTCATCATCATCATCATCGTTATGATGGCTAGAACATTTATGTTCTTGAAAATCCCTTAAACATTTACATTTTAAATTTCATGAAATATATATAGTTTTGTCATCATCATCATCATCGTTATGATGGCTAGAACATTTATTTTCTTGAAAATCCCTTAAACATTTACTATTTGAGAATTACATTAATAGATAATAATATTAAATGTTGTTGGATTATTTTAAATCTTATAAATATTTGAGATTAAATCAACTTATATATATTAGTAAATCGCTTAAATTACACATAATATACTGAACTGTCTATGGGTTGATTTAAATGGAATATACAACTAGACATCACCTAAGTGAACCAGCAGGAAATGTAAAGACAAACTTTTACACGATTACACAACTGCTATTGTAAACACACATCGAGAGAGAACAACGGTACTACTATTAACTTCGTATGCAACTAGAATAAAATGAGCTACAGTTATATTAGTTCAAAGTTCATCAATATCAATTTTACGGGGAATTTAATAATCGATATCAGGTGAGATCGGCCGTGTGATGGTCGCCTCGGGCGTTCTGCGGCCACTCCACATGACGTCCATGGATGCCGAATGCTATTCGTATGCAGGTCCAGCAGCAATCTGCGGTGTGGCCACAGGGGGCAGAGCTAGAAGAGCAGGAGTCTCCTGGGGATAGTGACCGTGCGTCCGCCGGTGACTCTGTAAAGCCGTGCCCTGAAATATACCATATACATTATAGTCATCCCTTTCATTGTTTTAGTCAAAACAGAGACTGCAATATTGACATAATTATCACTGTTTTTATATTTTTTTAAACATAACAAATTGTGAGCTTCAAATGTTCGTTTGTTTGCTGCAGGTTTGACTAAGTCCGCGTGAAATTAGACAAAAAAATAATAATTAGTAGTTTATATGTTCATCCAGACTATGTTCTGTATCTATACCAGATTACAAGATCAATACAGCTTTTCAAACCATCATCAATCTAAACATTCGCATTTATAATATTAGTAAGATTTTATACGGAATTCAATAGTTTTGGTAGGGAATTGATATATTTTACACACCTGTATGAACCTGTCGCCGCAAACCTCACATACATATGGTTTGTCCCCGGTATGTCTGCGGACGTGCAGATTAAGGTCGTTGCTTTGTGAGAACGCTTTTTCGCAGTACGAGCATTTGTACGGCCTCGCCCCCGTGTGCACGCGCATGTGACGTGTCAGCTTGTTGCTGCGCGCAAACCCTGACAAAAAACATTGACATAGTTATTAATCCAGTAAAAGCTTTTTGACATTTATAGCAGGTGCTTACAAATCATCCGAAAAATGCAATTGATTTTCAACTTTTGACCTGAGTTCTCTTAGTAATTTTTTATTTATTTAAATTTATATATTATATAATCTCCTTAACCTGAATATCATATCATGCGTAATATATTGATCATACATTGGTCAAAACATGACGCTGTCAAGACGACATTGTTAGTTAATATATTTTTTGACTGTCACAAGATTCTTAAGGGCAACACGATAATATAGGAGACATTCATGGACTCTATAAATGGACAGGCTATAAACCTTAAACTTAAAGACTGTAAAATAACTAAATGACAACCATAGAAATATGAGTTAAAAGTTTGCATATAAAATCATCATCAACCTGCCCTTATCCCTACTGTGCCGACCCTCGATAGGGATAAGGGCAGGTTGATGATAGTGATATAAAAAATACCTGGTACTATAGAAATTCTATAATTGCTTAGCTATATAGAGATGCGTTTGTACATACCTTTGTCGCATATCTGACACAGGTATGGTCTTTCTCCCGTGTGTGATCGTCTGTGACACTGAAGGTCCGACGAGCGAGGAAACCCTGCAAATATTGTAACGTAGTTTTATTTTCCATTTCACGTAAGTTATCTTCCCTTCCCTTGTAGAATATTTCCGTCGTGGAACGTGTCTAATATATGAGAATCGGAAGTGCCTATAGAATAGATTTGCCTAGAATTCTATGTTTATGTTCGATCAGCTCCAACGCCATTACTCCATTAGAATGGAAAAATACGGAACCCTTATTGGAACACTTTGTTGTCCGTCTGTCTGTCAAGACCCTTTTTTTTAATAGACAACGATATAACAGAAAAATTACTTCAAACGTTTAGTCCTGCTAAAAAACACATTTGATTGCATCGGAACTTAAGCAACGCTACCGCTTCTTGTAATACGCCGCGAAAACTTACCATGGGAGTTAAAACATATCAAAAACAAATTATATGAGACTAGCTTTTGCCCGCGGCTCCGTTCGCGAGGAATATAAAAAAAATAATAATAAAGTAATCTATATGTTCTACCAGATTATGTTCTACATCTGTTCTGGAGATATTTTCTAACATCCATCTCAACTTTCCCATTTATATTAGTAAGATGTGTACCTTTATCGCAGAAATCGCATTTATAAGGTTTCTCTCCAGTATGTCGGCGCATATGCACTATGAAGTTGGAGGAGCAAGAGAAACTGCGGCCGCAGTACAGACAGAGAGATGTTGCTGAACTCTGTCCACCGACGCCGTGCACCCGCATATGTGATCTAACACATCCCATTTAGTTAACATTTACAGCAAAACAATATTTTATATAGAAACCATATTTTGGTAATCAGGAATTATAAACTCGAAATGAGTTTCTGATCAAAAAATTTCCTTTGAAATTTATTGCTATCTCTGTTTTATTATGGATAATGATAAGGATGACGATATGTTACATACAGATATTTAGGTCTCAAAAACCCACGGTTCCATTGAATTCGGCAATAAATATCCGATGTTAGAAGAAAGATCCGAAATGAAATCTATTTCATATAACAGTCAAGAAATTGTATTTATTAAATAACTAGAACTGTAATGCGAACTTACCTAATCTGGTAGACAACAAAACAAAACAAAAGTACAGACTATGTTTTATATTTATGCTAAACAAGCTGTCGCCCGCGATTCCGTCCGCGCGGATTAAAAAAAAACAATAAGAAGCCGATATGATATTTTAGACTATGTTCTATATGTATGCCAAATTTCATTAAGATCCGTTCAGTCGTTTTAGAGATACCTTCAAACATATATACATTTAAAAATTCGCATTTCTAATCATCATCAGCTCACTATACGTCCCCACCGAGGGGCTCGGAGCCTACCCTAAGTTAAGGGTGACTCTGCCATAGTCAACCACGCTAGCCAAGTGCGGGCTGACATCACTCATATCTTTGAATTTCTTCTCAGATATGTGCAGATTGCATCACGATGTTTTCCTTCACCGTAAGAACGTCGGATAAATGTACATATGTAAATCGGAAATGGAAAAACACATTGGTACATGGCGGGATTCGAACCCAGGACCTGCAGATTGCAAGTCAAGTGCTTGACCACTGAGTCACCGATGCTCTTGTTTATAATATTAGTAATATAATATTTAAACTTACTTTAGGTTGTCATTTCTTTGGAAACGTTTATTGCATACATTACACTCGTAATTCTTGGTCGCTGTGTGATGTCGCATGTGCTTCGTGAGGGAGGCCTTCCTGTAAATATAAACAAATTGTTAAATACCATGACTTATTTTCTCAATGTCAATAGAATTAAAGCAGGAATTTACTGCCGTATTTAAATATTAGTAAATTTAATGGATTAAGTTGAAGCATTTGTATAAAAACTTGCTGCTTGACAATGGAATTTCGCATACAAATACCAAAAAGTACAGTCGAACATTGATAAATGAGAATGCAAGAGAATATAACTTTTTTCAATTATAAAATTATGTTATTTCTTAAAAGGTTCTTGCTTTTTTTTCAAGAAACGACATCTACAGACTCTTGGTATGTACTTTTCCACATATTCCTTACGCAAAATGACAATAATAATTTTTAATATAAAGTTTCTTATTTACAAAAGTGATCTTCAGAAACCTGACAAATTATTTTTATCCAAATTGGAGTGTATATAAAAGATATACATACTTAACGAATCTTTGTTTGCAGATATCGCACTGGTAACGTAGCCCGTTGTTTGAGGGCCCGGATAAGAATTGCACGGAGGCAGCATGTCCCCTATGAAAGCTCAGGATATGCTTGTTGAGGAACACCTCGCGTGTGAAACGTTGCGGGCATGATAAACACGCGTACGAACGTACTACGTTCGAGCAACGTGCGCGGTGCGCACGGGCTGCAGTCAGTGTCTCGAACATCTAGGAAACATTCATTATAATGTACAATGAAAAACTAAAGAAGTTTTGTTATATAAAAACTAGTGGTCAGCGACTTTGAGCGCACTAGTTTAACCTCAAAGTCCTGTCAAAATCGCTCCACCCATTGTGGTGTATACAGACACTACAATTTTATAAATATGTATACGTTTAAAAAGACAACGTCTTTAGTCATTTCTAAGCGCATTTATTATTAGTTAAAAAAAATTTTAAATATGAATATTTTTTGTAAGAAACTAATACGGTTCAAGAAAGAAAAATCAGTACAAGTTATAATATTGTCCTAGTCCGGTTCTCAGTTGTCAAAGATTTAAGAAAAACTTGATTACATAATTTATTGGTTTAAAAACTATTATATTATTATTATTATTACCTTGTTACAATGGCGACATTTGAGCGACATATTGGGATGTCGTGTGTCGATGTGCTCGGTGTACTCAGCTTCCGTCATCAGAAGTAAGCTGCACGAATTGCACGGGCGCCATTGAAGAGAAGCATGCTGGAACACATTACAAACATAAGTTTACACTAACAACACTAGCTGTCGCCCGCGACTACGACCAAGCAAAATTAAAAGACTCAAAATTAGCCCATTTGTTCATCCAGACTATGTTTTTTATGTATACCAAATTTCATCTAGGTCCGTTCTAGATATACCTTCAAATAAACATCCATCCATCTATACATTAGCATTTATAATATTAGTAAGATATTGTCATTACGCGTGTTTCATTTGTGAGATGCAATAGTTGAATTGATGACTCAACAAGGAATTCATCTTGTTCCGCTCTTGAAGGCTGGCTGGAAGATGACTCGCTCTGGAAAAATTCAATTGAATCAAAATAATATTTATTTTTTACATAATATTAACAAGACACAAACAGACAGAAACATTTTTTATTATAGTATTTAAAAAACCTAAGTGTTCTTACAGGCTATGTTCTATGTCAAATTTCAGCATCCATGCAGTGATTCCGGAGATACCTTCTAACAAACATCCATCCATCCAAACATTCATATTTATAGTATTATTAAAATGCAATTGATATACATACGAGTATGCCATCTCCTGCCGATTTATCTTCCACACACAGATGACTGTCGAAATATTTCTTTTGCATATAATTCTTCTTGCAAACAGCACACGAGTAAAGTTTATCTGAAATTATGTTAAAATTAATTTCACACTAATAATATTATTAAAACATTATTTTTTTGTTTATTTACTAATTTTAATTGTGGTGTGTTACCTCTGTGGGTGGAGATATGGTCAATGAGTTCTTCTTCATTACCAAAATACTTCTTGCAAAACACACAGCATAATCTCTTATCCTGTTTGGGTTTCAAAAGACCTCTATCCAACAGATTCTTCAATATGAACTGCAAATAATAAATCATTTTAGTAATTGTACCAATAACGGTTTAAAAATAAAAATTTTATATCAAGGTATTTACTAAACTATATATTTACACAAAAATTTTACAAACCTAACCTAAAATCATTAATATGTTTTCAAACAACATTCATTATTACGATCTAGCTGCAGTCTGCTTGGAATTTAAAAAAAAAAACAAATTAATTAACAGGCTATGTTCTATATCTGTGTCAAATTTCAGTAAGTTCCATGCAGCCATTCTGACATCCATCTATGTAGTTTCAGACATTTAAGTCAAGTGTCAGAATGAATAGTGAGGGGACTTTAATGTCGACAGTTTAGAAAGGCTAGTGTTGCGCCGGTACACCGGCACAGTGTCAGATATTCTTACTGTACACTAGCATTTATAATATTAGTAAGAAGTGATATACAGTCAATTGACACCAGTTTTCCCTAAAGATGTCTACTTACTTCTGTGCTAATCTTCTTTGGTCTGCCTCTCTTCTTGGGGCCCATGATCTCAGCGTGTCTCTCCCACATATGCTTTGTTAAACCCGCCACATTATTATAACTCACACGACACAGCGGGCAAAATGACTGGCAATTATTTTTCCGCACTGTAACATTTTTTAAAAATTAATAAATGCTTTACTGTAACACTAATTTCCACAATTGTGTAGGAACCTTGCTCCTGAGCTAGAGCTGAGCCCTGGTATCAATCCTTTCCCCTCATCACTTTGAGTTTACATAAAATATAGTCACAATATCTATAAAAAAAAAATTGTTTTTTATATTACCTTCCAGGGCACTCTCATTATTAGATTGCTGTGGTATTTCATCTACAACTTCGACATCGGGTCTCTCTACTTGTTCTACATTTTGTGCATTATTCTCTCTACCGTCTGAAAACGTAACAAGAGTGCGTATTTAAATAAGAAAACAATGTAAACTTAAGATGTTCCATGTTCATCTTAATATGGCAGCAGTAACTGTGGCCTATCCACCCTTAACTTAGGGTAGGCTATGAGCCCTTCAGTGGAGACGTAATATGCACTGATGATGATGATTGTCCATAGACTATATTTGGTGTACTGACAAATATTGACATCCCTTTTATTCTAATTCAATAAACACAGACAAAATGTGTACAAACGCAATGGTAGTCAAAATCCAAAGTTACATTTGTGCGGGCGGCCTTATGTAAAAAAACGTGTGCTTATTATTCAAATATGCTCTTACCTGGGTTAGATTGGTTAGGATCCTCAATTCTGTTATTGTTGTCCTCATCTGAATCTGATAGTTCAATCTTAACAACAACCTTCTAAAAAGATAAACATTTCTTAATTAGTCATGCACATAACCTGTTTCAATTCATTTTTATAAATACACAATTATTTTACTAGTTACTGTATTTCCTTTGATCATTAAAAATGAGAGATTACGATATGTTACTACACAAATGTTCCTGTAATGGAAATCAAACGTAAGAATGCAAGCAACTGTCAATCAATTATTGTGACTGTAAAATTACAGCAGTTGCTAATTTAAGCTATGAGGAACAAATTAATTGAATTAAATCATTGAAGTAGAATGCCAATTATCCGAACACCGATAAACTGCATCTCCAATTATCCGAAGCATTGCTAAGCATAATATCAAAATTTTAAACCGAGTTATTTTACACTTTATATTTTTGTTAAGTCCTAATGGGGTTGCAACTTAATCTTATTGCGATGTTCAAGTGTGCGTTATTGTAGTATTGCTTTTCAGTTTATTGTACTTTTTTACCAGTCTATACCCAACTATCCGAATCTATCTCAGTCACAATTAATTCGAATAATCGGCGTTCTACTATATTTATAGTACATTAATATTTAATATAAGAATAATCTCAACAGTGACTCGAGTCCCTTAGTGTGGACATGTATAAACTGACATTACGAGTACTTTAATAAAACAAACAATAACATGTATTTATAAGTATAGCAGCAGGTAAATTCTATGACAGTATCAATTATGTAAGAAAAATAAATTTTTACAAACCTTTACTTCACGCTTACGAACTGGTTGAATTAACAAAGTATTTAGATAAGCTTCTGTTTGCCATAACTTTCTTTTAAATGAATATGCTTTGGCAGTAGTATCCTTGCAGGCTTTACACATTTTGTCGGGAAACCCCTCTAGTCTCGTAAACTAAAACAAAAATTTTGCTTTAACATATTTAATTCAATGCTTAATATATGTTGTGTTAAAGGTCATGCAATTTGAGGTGATAAACTTTTTGTATACGAGGGTGAATCAAAAAATTCTTAGAAGTGCATATACATGAAACCTTTTTGGATCAAGTTCGATATTCAAATTAAAGAGTGTCTATCACACTATATTTATGCAGACTGTCACTTGTTTTTGTCAGTTCGTTCGCACGTAATAAATTTTTTTGTGCAACGAGTTGCTAAAAAGTCAAAATTATGCGGTGATAAAATATCTCAGTTTGAAAAAAATGTCTACGAAGGAAATTTTTTTGGACATTCAGCAGACATAAGGGGGTGATGCTGTACCCTATTCTACGGTTGCGTACTGAGTGGCTGAATTTAAAAGAGGTAGATCAAGCTGTAAAGATGACCCGCGTTCTGGGCGGCCTTCAACCTCCGTTACAGAAGAAAACTGTCAAAAAGGTTGAGAATCTGGTTTTGGAAGACAGAAGAATGACTATAAAACATATAGCTGAGATCCTAAAGATATCTTTTGGTAGCGTTCAATCCATTTTAATTGATTCACTGGGGTTCAAAAAAGTGTCTGCAAGATGGGTGCCACGAATGTTAACCGACGAAAACAAAAAGCGACGTTTGGAAATTTCCAAGCGTAATCTCGAAATGTTCCAGCGTGATTCGGATAATTTTTGCCGTCGTCTTGTCACCATGAATGAAACGTGGATCCACCATTTTGATCCTGAAACTAAAAGACAAAGCATGTCTTGGAAACGGCCATCCTCTCCATCCATCAAGATATTTCGAGTTGCTCCTACCGCTGGCAAAGTTATGGCCTCTGTGTTCTGGGATAGTGAAGGAATCCTTTTTATTGATTACATGCCAAAAGGCCAGACGATTACTGGACACCCTATTATGCAAATTTAATCCCGAAAGTGCGTGAAGCGATTAAAGAAAAACGTCGTGGAAAACTGTCGTTGGGCGTGTTGTTCCTTCAAGATAACGCTCCTGCTCATCGATCGGAAGTTGCGCTCAACGCAATCCGCTGAGCTGGCTTCAATCTCCTTGACCACCCACCATATTCTCCGGACTTAGCCCCAAGTGATTTTCACTTATTTCCAAAATTAAAAGACGAAATTCGTGGAACAAAATTTCACGATAATGACGCGGTTATAGCTGCCGTAGAGGACTTTTTCGAGAGTCAAGAAAATAATTTTTTTTCACAAGGAATAAGGAAGTTAGAAACGCGTTATTCTAAATGCATTGCATTGGAGGGAGATTATGTAGAAAAATAAAATATTATTATTTAAATCTTTGCATTTTTTAATATTGATTCCAAGAATTTTTTGATTCACCCTCGTATACTAGTAGTTGCCTGCGACATCAGCTACCTTCGTGTTAAATTGGTCTAATCATTACCGATAATAAACAGAATATACATATTGTATTGCTTTATTTATATCTACACCTTGTTAACTTACTTGTTACTAGTGTAATTACTTACAAATTATGTAAAAAAAATTCATCATCAACCTGCCCTTATCCCTATGAAGGGTCGGCACAATATGTATTACTCCTCCATACATCTCTATCAGCCGTTATATCCGAGTCTACCCCCTTCTTACGCATATCCTCTTGCACACAGTCATTCCATACTTTTTTTGGTCTTCCCCTACCCTTGTAGCCATCCACATTCAATCTCATTACTTTTTTGCTTATATCATCATCATCACTCCTCATAACATGTCCAAACCACGCTAATCTTTTACTCCTCAATTTCTCGATCAAAAAAAAAGTTGAAAAAAAAAATTATATCATAAAATTGGAATATATTCTATAAATATGTTATTTATGTGAATAAATAAAAATTTGAATGGGCTGGGTTAGGTTTTAAAAAAATATGTTGTACAGTTGACCCGCATTAATCAGGCACCTGGCTTATCAGGTGATTATTGTAATAGATATGTACATACATTTGTTTCTACACAATTATTTCCTAAAGTAAAGATATTAATTTTTAAGTTTTAAAGCATTAATTTCTTTTATGAGATAATAAGCAAGGGTGTCATCAAGGTGATAATTGACGTCCATGGACATCAACAATTTCAGAGGAATGTTTTGTTGCCGACCTCTGAGAAGGTGATATGCTTAATTCTTGAAAGATTGTGAGTTGTAATTGTCTTAATTTTATGAGATTACATATGAAAAAATCTATTCCAGGTGTTTAAAGTATAGATAGAAAGATAGTAAGATAGTATTTAAAGTAATTCTTAGAATTTTTTCGGTATGTGTGTTTGTTGATTGAAGTATTATAGTCAGTGTAAATGAACATTTAGTTTTAATTTTTTTTATCATAAGGTGGAAAAGAAGCGAGCAGCCACCTAAATTTGCTGAAATAGCGAAGTGATGTGAAGTTATAACAAAAAGGGTGGGATGGGAAAGATGACTAAATTATTCCTTTGGGACGCATACTCATCAGACAAAATGCGGAATTGCTTCCACTTCACGCCTGTCTTCTGTGTGGTTGTGGTATTTCACCGGGCGAGCCGGGCCAATTCGTGCGAAGATATTATAAGGGCTCTAACAATGTTAAATTTTAATTTTCTCAATCTCTGCACAGACTAAAAACAGGCAAATTGAAATTATTCTTTCCATGGCTATAAGGTCAAGTTGTGTGATCTTTTGGAGGATTAGGCTATGGGAGACTTTGTCTACGCCTTGTTTTATGTCTGTACTTTGTAGTTCTGTAAACATGTATCCACTGTGGAGACCCACCACCCACTCACACACCTACTCATTCATACACTCTTCATAATTTTTATGTGACAATTTTTTTTCTTTTACTGATGCTAATGTGTCAAGTGTGGCTAAAATAGAAATGAAAACAGAAAAATTACTCATTGTTGCCTTGTTGATTGGAAATTAACATAATGCGTTCTTACCTGCAATGAAGATACTGTCGCCAACGCCTCCACAAGAGGGATATCGCCATATAAAGTTTCCACAAACGTACTGCATATCGGATACGACACGTTTTCTGTTGCTAAACATGTTCGACATACGTCTTCTATATCAACTGAATTACAGCAGTCGCTCATGATGCAAACGAATACGTAAATCACTTGTTTTAATTTAAAATAAATAATATTTATCCACTTTACACTTCATAACCATTGTAGCTATATAGATATTGATTTTTTTATAGAATTCACAATCAAAAGGAGAAACACCATCAAGTTTTCAATACAAATACAAGACTTCAACTACAAGTCGTAGGTAGAGCGCTTGAGAGCATAGAGCAGCTTTGCTATAGACGAGAAGGCACCAGGGCTGCACTTACAAAATTATTATCGATTTTAATTATTTTTGATTTTATTCATAAAATAATTTTTAGATTTATAAGCTTTGTATGTTTTCTATTTTAGATTTATATCTCTAGATCACCCAATCATTAACGGTGAGGCGTCCGTGAGTGAGCCCCTCGTGGAAGGTGCGTGGAGTTGATGTTGGTTGATTTATAAACTTTTAATTATAGTCTGTAGCATTTTCAATAAATCGGATGCCTATATGAAACGGATGTCACACGTCTAACCCTTTTGACTCTTTCGCATGAACGCCTTAATCACGTCAAATTTAATACAAGCGGGATCTTTACACTAGTACATAATATGTATATTTTCTTAGGGAATGTTATCATGAAATTGTGTGATGATGGATGTGCATGTTAAAAAACCATATTTTTTTCATAAATACAGCCCTGGACGCCAGAGACAATTCAATTGAAAATTGTTACCAGCTACAAACATATAGTTCCTTAGTTCCTGTTAAAACTAAAACCTTTTCCCGAAAATGTAGGAAATTAGATAAAAATAAATCTGTTTTCGATTTCTTTTTTCGATTATTATACTGCTATAATTTTTGGTAGCTACCTGTATTATTGCGAAATTATTTCGCTGTTATAGTGTAACGCCCAAAACTATGTTTCATATAAATTTTTCAAATTGTGTTTTGAGAGACATTTTTGTTTAAAACCTCAATTTTGCTTAAACATATTCCCAAGTTGTGTATTTCCCATTATATAATGTACAGTTTTAAGGAATAAGAACTAAATTCAGAAAGAATTTGTTTATATGGGATTAACAACATAATTAATTTAAAAGCATTATTGATGCTATGATTCTTCGTTGCTACACTTTGCTTTCCTGACTTTGTCTTGTCTTTCTAGATAGTGCTGCTGTAGCAGTGCATTGTCTTTCGTTAGTTTTAATTAATTACAGTCGTGAAGCAGTGACCGGAGGAAGGTGGAAAGGTCATGGTAACATTGGCATGACAACTGTCATCATCACCTTGGGCACAAACTGTAGTGATGCTTGTATTGACACATATTGTGATCTCTTTTTTTTCAAACCATATGAGAGGGATAACAATACGAGTCAAAACAAGAGTCATAGCAGTAGAGGCCTACGGTCATTGTTTAATTCTAACTTCACATTTCATGCATCTCTCTCACACACCAGCATTTTAATGTTGTTTCCGATGCGCTAAGGTGCGAGTGTGAGTGTTACGTATGGATTCTTTTAGAACTGTGATAATGAATTTTTATTCCTTACTAACGATATAAATTTATTTATCTGTATTTATGTCGCGAGGAAACTGGGCCGGTAGCGGGCTTGGGTGCGGTAAGTACTTCATAAACTGGAAATATTTTATATCAAATTATGCGCATTCGCAAGCGCACATCAAAATTTACTGAGATCAGCTGCGCGCATGATATGCGCAAGCGCAAATAGCCGCTACACTAAGATGTTCTAAACAAAGTCAAAACAAATATTAATTAAAAACATTATTGTTGTGGAAATAATACTTTACTAGCTTACATAATGGATAATATTTATCATTAAATAAATTAAAAATACACATCATTAAAAATAAACTGTAGTGTGCGCTACTCAGACATTAACACAACAACAAGAATAACATTTGGCCATTTAATTTTAATGGTCAATGAAAAAAAAAAGAATGACACATAAAATTTTTATCGTACATTACATTAGGCCACAATTATAGCAAAGGCAATCATTATTTTGTTCGTCGTGGATGTCCTAATTGCTCTCGTCATTCCTTAGCGGATGTTAATCGTAATTAGATATTTCATTAATATTACGGTGGGCAATGTTGCGTTTCAAATAACAAAACAAAGATTGAACAAAACCTGTCCAGTAATTTAAGAACGCATGGATTATAAAAACGAATATAGTCAAACATATTTCTATGTCAATCTGAGTTAAGTATTTTTCGCCCACTGATGGAAGGTTTCCAAAGATCGCCAGGATGATCAATCTTGTGCTCATTCAGGGTACTCCAGCAAGCTTGACCAGATCATAGGTCCACCAAGCGGTAGACCTACAAATGCTGCGTCTACCTGCCCCTTGCCGCCATTCCATTTTACATTCCTAATTTTTAATGATAAATATTTTTTTAAGAATACCTACCTTATCTACATATAACTTGTTAAGTCGTAAACAAAAAATGTTTTCGATAAACAGATTTATATGGCCTTTTACAATGCCCTTGAAAGGAGGGGAAGGTTAACTTGGTTACGTGCGACTGTAATTCGCAGATCTTTGACGCTTTTTTTTATCCAGCTTCCTTGGCGGTCGCAAATCGCACCCTACCCTACCGCCGGCAATGACTGTTATAGTTATTATTTAATATCCTGTTTATCGTCTCGCACGGCAATAATAAAATGATTACGATCACATTGTCTCAAGACGGAAATGCATTTTAACACGATCCAATATTATCGTGGGAACTATTTCTGCGATTGAACGTAGAAGTCAACTGTCGTGGTTTTTGTTGTTGTATGTTTTGATTTCGGCGTTGGATAAGTATATATTTATAAGATTTTTTGGATGTCTGGATTTATTTCCAATGCTGATTCATGACGAAGAGTCGTATTTATAGATAGATGTACATTTTAAAATTCTTAATTGTTTTTTTTAGATATCTTATCGTAATACGTATAGGCTATTGTTTGTGGTTTCGCTCGGATTCATTATTTATCTTTTACAATGGTATTTTGTATTTGTTTTCCAACATGACATTAGTATGGAAACTGAAATAAAGTTTTTTGTATCGCTTAAAAAGAGATGATAGACATTTTCCTATAACTAACAATGTGAGTTCAAATTTCACGTCAATCTTAATATTTAATTTGGATTTATAATAAAAAGAATGTACGTTTTCTTGTCCTTCATATAAATGAAATCCTAAATTAAGTAGCAGCTCGATTGCAACTTCGCATAGTAAGACGGAATTATAATAGTTTTTTTTTTTTTTTTTTTTTTTTTTTTTTTTTTTTTTTTTAGGCTTTATCTGCGATCAGTATTTAGTACTTTAAGCAGATGTGAAGAAAGAGTAATTTTTTTAGAATATTTTCTCCATCAAGAAAATTTCTTCTTTTAGGTCAATGGGTTATTTATCATATTATGGTGGCCCTTTTAAGTTAAGAATTATAATAGTAACCTAGTAAGTAGTATAGTTAAGATTGCTAACTATTTCCGTTTTTTAGTTTGGTTAGTTCAGCCATTCTGTTGCATGTATTAAAAAAACTTCCAAATTATTGCATTTAAAATATGATGTATGACGTATGTATGTGGTATGTCGATTTGCAAGTATGGTCAGTATATGTATGACCCAATCTTAGAGTCGAGTGAAAGCAAGATGGGCGCGTCGCTTTCACCGAGGCAACCTGTGTAGCTCCGTAATGCTGCCTATGTTTCTATGTCACCGGTAAATTGTAAAACAAATCTTAATATTATAATAAATGCGAATGTTCAGATGGATGGATCTTGCAGAAATTTGGCATAGGTGTAAAACATAGTTTGGAACAACATATAGGCTACTAATTAAGTTTTTATAATTCCGCGCGGACGGAGTCGATGGCGACCTCTAGTAGCTTATAAAATTGTGCTTATTTGGCTGTTTACTTTGTAGCCAATAAAAAATCGCGGAGTGGCGGGCAATGATGACATCATGATAGTGTTATTAACAAGTAAATGTCACCCAAATTGCACGAACTATTACAAATGCATTACGTTGATTTGTGAATTAATTCGAATTGGATTTGCAATTAATCGAATCTCTAAGATTTGCTTAGGCGAATTACTAAATGGCGGCATACAGGATTTGTCGGTAGCTATAAGAAATGGAGAGTGGCGAACTTTCGCACATGTTATGTATTAGAGTAAACGAGAACATAATGTTATTATTCTATTATTTTTTGATAGAATGTGAATTTTGATAGATTTTACTTTTGAGTTAGAAATACGCTTTTTATTTGTTTTTACTATATTACTCAGTGATAAAGCAGCATTTTAATGGCACACGAATTTTTGAAATCGGTTGAGTAGTTTTTGAGTTTATTATTTACATACAAGATATAAATCTCATTTCTTAAAAGATGCTCACAACCAAGAGAATCTGTACTTTCATGTCTTCTGGTAGGTTATTTATTACCGCTCTCAGAATCTTTGATGGACCACTAAAAGAGGTCCTTAACACACCACTGAAGAGACCCTAAGCGTGTATTACTCATATAAATTTAACATTAAAAACTAAATATTTGATTTATCAGATTTTCAAATAAACAAATCCGAGGGTGGCAGTCTATACGTGTATTACTCGTAGATAGACGTACAGTTTCAAAATGGCCGCCGAGTTCGCAATTATTGATTTCATCTCCCCATTACCCCTAGGCGTTCTATTTTAAGACCTAGCGTCAGGTGGTATGAGCATGCGCGGGATTTGCGACGTAGCCAGTGTCGAAATATTATGAAATATAATAAAATTATTTATTTTATCATCTTTTCATAGAATGATATCTTACAAGCTTATGACTTTCTCTAAGTAATGATATGGGAGATACCATCACAAGTGTAATCGAGAAATCTAAAAATTGTCTTTTAAAAACCTTTTTTTTAGACTCAAAATTTGAAACACGGTTTTAATATCAAATTTACATGTTGGTAGACTCTAACTTTTAATGTTTTCAATTTAAAATAGGTAAAACTTAATCATCATTATCTTTAAAGCTGCTTCGCGAGTGAATTAAAACATCTATGTAACTCTCAAAAAAGTTATGGGTATTAGGTGAACGAAAAAAACGAATTCGAACACTACAAAAAACCACTTCGCACTTAGTAGGGAACGATCTTTGAAATACGTGTTATCGTTTCATTTTGATAAAAAATTGTGTTCTATGTTTAT